TATATAAAAATATTTTTTGCATATTTTGCATTTTTAGTAATTTTAAAATGCATAATTTTTAATTTTGCATCGCACGACCCTGTGGGCTCTATTTTACACACTGCAACAGAGCCGTACTGTACAACAGTAAATATTGATCAGCGCAGTGGGTTGAATTTGGACTACCTCTGCGCACCCATCAAAAATGTCATGAAATGGCTGACATTAAGGATTGGCAACATGCATGATCATGCATATGGGCCTGCAAAAGTCTTAATGCGAGCCGACGTGACATTTTTTGATGAGTACGCAGGGAAAGTCGTTAAATTTGACTTCTGCCTACCCATCAAAAAATGTTACATCAGCCCACATTAAGACTTTTGCAGGCCCATATGCATGATCATGCATGTTACTGATCCTTAATGTCGGCCATTTCGTGACATTTTTTGATGGGTACGCAGATGTAGTCATTAAATTTTATATTATATGATCGTATAAATGTGTTTGATCATAAAAGTCTATGTGTTTGGCATTTTTATGTGTTTCCAAGGCATTTCCAGAAATAATAATGGACTATTTTGAACAAACCTCACTGGATAAGTATAAATTCATAGACTATTATCGGCACCGCCAGAAACAAGACGATTTTATGTATTCTTTCCGAGAAGAGTCTGACAAGCTCTCATATTGCTTGGTATCATTGGCTCAAAAGGATACGCCTGAGATCAAAACAGCTGTCGGTCGGTTATAAAATTGTTTTGAGGAAAGTGTCTTTTCTTTTTCTTTCTTTGATACCATGACTTGCAGAAAAATGTGAAGGTCCTGCTGAAGTCCCGAGAAGAGATAATATACTTTCATGACTACGGTTGGTTCAGACGCCTGACTTTACGGTGGTCCCATCATGTTTCACAATTTGGTTTTATTAACCTCTTTGTGGAGGTTAGATCCTTTATTTGCTGTCCTAAAAAGGGATACATACATACACAACTACGGTCGGGCTGGACGCTTGACTTTACGGTGGTCCTGTTGTGATCTCTCTGCTAGTAGTTTGTGTTTATAATCATCAACAGCTCTTTTGATAACATTTATTTCCTTTAACATCAGGGCATCGAACAAAATATGAGGACGTCAACATATTTTGGTAACAAGTTGAGAATGAAATGTCGATTGATCATGCCGAAGTTTGTTTCTTATTAAATATTATATTGTAACTATTCTTTACTGTCATTCTTAATCATAGACGAAAGTAGCTTGCAAGATCATCCATAGATCTGCTGATCTTGTTGATACAGCACTCACAAACATAGAGGGAAAGATGGTATGGATTATTCTGATCTAATATGCTAATTAGAGAAATTGATCGACTTACTCTAATGTCTCCTTTGTAGAAACAGAATTGGAAATGTGCAAGTGTAGATGAAAAGCGATTCCCAAAAATCAACAAATATGTGACGCCTACAAGAAAGGTAGTTCATCTCCAATTGTTTAAGATCACAGATAGTATGTTAATTATCTCATTATAATATCTTCTACGTAGTGACTACTCCCCTACGTTGCCTCATCGTAAACAGATGCGTGAAGATCTTCAACCAAATTTGGTGGAGACCGTTGTAAGTGATTATGAATATGACGAAGAACGGAAGGAAATTTCTGATAACGAAGAATATTCCGATGATGAAGATTCCGAAATTGAGATAAACGAAAATACTCTTGAATCCTTTGATGAGACAGATCAACTCATTGAATCAGAATAGAAATTATCAAGTGGGAAACTCATCAAAAACGTCTTTTCAAAAAAGCATTAAATGTGTTTGAGAGTTGTAAAAATTCAAAAAGATTGAATGCTTATCAAGCCAGTGTTATTAGGTGTGATATCATGTTTTTGATTAATTATTGCACTCACAATAGAGCAAAACCACTGATTTATTTCTTAAAATATAGGCTCGGACTTTCTTCTGTTGTTGACTTGTCTTCCAAATTTCAAGATGGCATGAGTATCTGGTTCGGAAGTGAATGGGTCAGATTAAAACAGAAAGCGCAAAATCAGATAAACATGATACCAATAAAGTTCGAAGGCTGTATTCTAAACAGCATTATGAAGATTGAGAATGTATATAAAACAGCTTGTTGTTTGACAATTTTAATTTTTGTATATTAACATTATTCCGCACAGTTATGTTTAGAATATCAGTATTGGGAAATGTGAGATTACTTATTAAATCAAATGAAGAATCGTTCCGCCACAAAAATCTATCTTCAAATCGTGAAGATATACTTTACAATGTAAATCATTTTTTTTAATTGTGGTTCAGCAACTGTTCCTATAAATATTAAAACTAATGCACCCTTTTTATTACTAGCTTGGATACACTACTTAACGATCAATACGTCTTTGTGAATGAAAATAACAAAGAAACAAAGCTAACGGAAATGGAATTTGTTCTCAAAACAGTGGCCCCGGTTATGGACATTATATTTTCAGATATCAATCATCTTGTTAGACTTCGATGGTAACCACCTATTTATTGAGCATGCTTTATATTTAAATTTTACTATTTGCACTTTATAATACTTTATATCAACATATTATAGGGGGAAAACTGTATCGAAAGCTAGCAACGCATGTAGAAAAATAGATCTGAAAATTGAGACTCGAGGGGAATGTAAACTTTAATAATCATGTTTCTGCATTCTCGTACCATTAAAAATGCTTCATTCAGTTTGCGCTTTAAGGCGACCCAGCTTTCTCATGGTATCTCATTTGGACTACGATATAGGTCGGAACTTTGTAACAAGCAAAAGCTTGAGCAACTTGAATCATTGCTTATGACACCACGTAAAGAAAAGATGGTTAGGCAATCCTTTAATCTTGAACAAGTTTTAAAAACTGCGCAAAGATTAGCATTAGTAGAAAAGAGAGATGACATTGTAACAGACTTACTTTTAGCGTTTTCAGAGGGAACAATAAGTATAGGGATTCCCAGCTGTAAAGTATCAATATAATAAATATTTTATTTGTACATAGATTAAAACTTTTTCAAGTATTGTGATTGATGAAATTCCTCAGCTTGAAGTTAAAATGGGTGGTTATTTAATTTTCAAGGATGAAATAGCATTGAAACCTTCAAAGCTTTTTGAAGATGTAATAGAAAGGATATTTTGACGCTGGAACCTAAGTGTAAGTTAAAATCAATTCATTCAGAAACTTATTTCCAATTTATTTTAACTGTATTTCACATTTTTTAGCTTGAAAATGCAAGAAGAACGATAGTTAACACATACTTATTGGAAGCAGTTGACCATAAGTATGATCCAAAAACTTACGACACCAAAAAAGATAAATTAGCAATATACCCAGAGTATTATGTCAAACCCCAAAATATTGAAAGAGATTTGACTTTAAAGGATTCAGTTGACTATATTTCTGCCGAAAGAGCAGAACCTAATAATCGTAAGTTGCTAATTAGCGGGCCAAATACTCTGCTCTCAATTTTTTCTAACTACTCTTAACTACTTTAGTGTTACTTCAAGCCAGGCATAGTATACCAAGCCATTGTGTGTTCTGTGTCATTGAAGCAAAGAAAGATGAATCATTTTCTCAAGGTACTGGCGAACTTCTTGGAGAAATGAAGGCGTTACATAAAAGAGAAAAGTATGATCTTACATCCTTCATTGGATACTATTTATCAAAATTCTAATGTTTTTTACTTGTGGTATAGGAAACCTATTAATGGTGTGCTTACGGATGGGTTAAGATGGATATTCTACCATTTAGATGATGACATGTATTATGAAAGTGAAATTATCTATCACAAATACCATTCTAATATTATATTGGGTGTATTACACTATTGGGTCTGAGGCGAAATTTCCGCAGATAATCTATTTGAAAAAGTAAATCAAATTGACTAAATCATTCATATGTTGAGAAAACTTCATTCTGTTCATGAATAGTCATGTGAAATTGATCACCTGAAATAAAGAAGAATAGGGCTGTGCGATATGAGAATCACATTTGGATCATGGACTAGCCTCTGAGCCTTTTGTCAAAAATTTTTTTTTATGATTTTATATAAGCTGAATATGATTAACTATATGATAATCTAATTTTTTGTATAATAAATTATCGAAATATTCATATAAACTTTCTTTTTCAAAAAAGATCAACAATCAAAAATTGGAATAATATGCATTTTTAATATTTAAGAAGTAAACAATAAAAATGATAAAATTTTAAATTCTGATTTCTCAAAAAAGCAATAATTTACCGGAGGGCATTTTTCTAGTCCATGACCCATATATGGGGACCCCGTAACAAAAGCCGGGGCTCGGTCAATCACGTGATTTTAAGAAAAAAAAATTGGATTTTTCAAAAACGTTCTTAATAACTTGGGACGAAATTTCACAGGAATGTAATTGAAGACCTTAGGTTCCTTTATGTTATATTTATTTAATTTAAGTCATTAAATTTGTATGGTAGATATTTTCAAAAAGTTAGTGTAATATTTTTAATAAAAACCGCAAAATTAATTCGCCAAAAAACTTTATTTTATTGAGATTTCAATTTTTCGAAGTAATAAAAAAATAATAAAAACGTAATTACTACATCAATAACAGAAGTAAACAAAAAAAAAGCTTGCAATACCACAAATTTACAATAAATTTAATCTATATTGCTTTGTTTCTTTTGGCTTAAGACAAGTAATGTTACGAAACGGTAAATCAACATATGATGCAATTTCCTTATATAATTCTTATCTTTTTAATTATAGAAGGTTTGATATTGAATTTAAAGGAAAAATTATGAACTGTGGTCTCTTTATAATTGTCTTCAAGTTTGTCCTTATAGAAAATAACGCCAGGATGTTGTGAAGTAAAATAAAATAGATGGTATTTTTGAATATTAGGAATTTTTTTGTATTTTTGAAAATAATTTTTAAAGTTGTAATATTGAAACCCTTCTTCATTTAAGTAGCGTTGGAAAACATTAAGATGAACTGTAGTGGAATTATTGATAATGGAAGTAACGTCATCCATGGTATTTACTTTACTTTTCTGATAAAGAATCTTAATTAAGCCAAAACAGCTATCACAAATAAACTTTGTATGATCAGGTATCATAAAGTTCATCTCAATCTCTTCATATATACCATGGTCAATGAACCAAGAATAAAAAAATAAAGAGTAATTATTCTTGTTTTGTCCTATATAATTATCACATGTGATAACTAATTTTTTTCCTCACGATTATATTTCTGAATTGCATTCCAAACAGACTAATTGTACAATTTGCTCTCTTCTTCTGTTTACTATCATTAGCCATTTCATCTTCGTCAATAACATAGTTTGTTTGTTCCGTGTGAGGAAAATTTCTGGTATTACAAACTCCAAACAATTGAACTTTTTGAGGACTTTTAAAAAATAAAGTTCCTACTTGTTGTGGAGAGTAAGGAACATGTACATTCTGAGCCCAATCATATGCAATGTGAGCATTACCTTCAAAATTTTTAAATGATGTTTTAGTTTTATTTGGGTTTCTTTTTCCATCTTCAACTGCACTTGTAATATTATTATTATAATAATTATGTTCATCTTTTGCACGATTCAAATGGGCTAAATATTTCTTTGTGACTAATATTTTTTTTTCGTGTTCTGTAATATATTGAATTTCCAACTTCATTATTTTACATGTTTCATACAAATCAGACTTCAGGAACATAAATTGAAGTGATGGCATTAGGAATCTCCAGCTATTTCTAAAAGTTGTTTCACATATAATACGTTTTTCTTCTTCATAATATTTTTCTTTATAATCTCGAATATAATCACGATATACTGATGCATAACTACAATTCATTTGAAGAAAGATTACTGGCATAGTTATTTTATTAAATTTTCATCTAGGTGAAGATAAACAATGTATATCAGAGTAATTTTTTAAGAAGTTATAAATTTCACATGCTATATCATAATTTACTTCAATACGTTTCATATTTTTTGGAACATTTCCAGTATTTTTATGTATGCGTTTCTTAAGACCATATTCTCGTAAATATTTTATGATATTATCTAAATATGTATGATCAATGCCGATAAGAGCCTGATATGTATTATGACAAACTGAAATATTATTGTTATAATAATATTTAAAACGAAAAAATTTTTTATTATTGGCTGTCGCTTTTCTTGTATTTTCATCTTGCTGAAATGCTATTAATTGATCTTTAACAGCATATTTTTGTTTAAAGTTTTAAATTCCATTCGATGTGTAAGAAACCTCTTATATCCAATTTTTTCGAAACATTTAGAATTACACAAGCATTTTCCCTTATCAAAAAATTCTTTTACTTTAAATTTTACGTCATCATAAACTTTGTCTTCGATATAATTATCATTATTTTCAATAAATTCAACATTATTTAAATGCATTTCGTTAAAATTTTCTACAAGATTTTGAGTATCATCTTCAACATTGCTAAAATTAGGACTGACTTCGTTATCTGATTTATCTGATACACTTTTTTCATCAGAACTTGAATTGCTTTATTAAAAAAAGTGTCATTTAGTTCTGCTAAGGCAGATAGAATATTTGTATTTATATCATCATTATTAAAATTAATTCCATAATCCATAAATTATTAAGAATAAGAATTAAAAAAAAAATGTGTTTATTTTTAAAATAAAAGGCTACGAAAATGTAATAATTTACGCCTTTTTTACTAGTAGTTTATAAAAGGAAAAACCAATTTTCCAAATAATTAGACCTGGACGTAACCAAAAAACTCTTTTCGCCGAATGCTCTAGATGTCTCTATTATGATTCACTAGCCTTCGTCTCTAAATGTTTTAGCATGAAATGGAAAAAAACATGTTATTTTTTTTCAATTCCTTCGGAATTGTGTTTTCAAATTCCAGTGTACCAAACTAAATCAGAACCCGTTCCCTTTTGTGTATGGTCCTTAGCTTTGCTAAATAATCTCGCATTTTCTAAATTTGTAACTTATAATAGACCTCAATCTCATTTTGTTAATATTTCCTATACACCCAGCACTCTTCCATCATTTATTGAAATGTTTATACCACAAATTCATGTGTCACAACTTTTAGAACTCCAAGATCAATTTGTTTCTTCCAATTATTTAGAATTTTTACTGACAGCTCTTTAGTCAATTTAGGTACTCCATCTGTAAAAATGGGATTGGCTTAGATCCAAACTATTTCTCCTTTACTTTCTTATGTGACAGCTTTGACATTATCTTTTCTATCTTTTTCAATTGCTGAACTTGTTGCTGTCTTCACTGCAGTATTAGTTACTTCTAAAGTCTGCTACATCAAAATCTTTACAGATTTACTTACAGTGATCTTGCAATTTAACCAATATAAATTACTATCAATCATCTTACCATCACAAAGATCTTTTCTCAAAATCTATAATCTACATATCTGGTGTTATCTATTTAAAATTATCGACACTTATTTGCTAAAGATAACTATGCATAAAGTTAAAGCTCACTCGGAAATTTCATTTAATGATAAAGTAGATACAATGGCCAAAACTGCACTGAGTTCACAAGCGTTACATCTCACATCACACAATCCTTCCTATCCTATACTCCATCTTTAGCAATTGGCAATAGCTACACCCATCAGATCACTCCTTAAAGATATCACTCGTGCTAATCATTTAGTTTCTTTTCTGAACCTTGACATCAATCTCAAATATATCAACCTAGACATCAACTGGATTGCAACTGCATTTTACATCTTAGACAATGCAGCCCCTTTTACAACATCTTTTGAAATGTTCACAATCAAAAAAACAGAAAGTTTCACTACTTCTTCAAATGCTCTCATAATAAAGGTCTTTAACAAACGACATCCTTTAATTTTTGATAACTCTTGGCTTTGTTTTCTTTGTAACTCAAACCATGAAGATTTTAATCATATTTGAATATGTTCAGGCAGAAATCTTGAGATGCTTAAGCTTATTAATGAGGCAAAATCTCATTTAATCAACTCTCTTCAACTTGATATAAACACTCAAATATTGGAGTTACTAGATATTTAATTACTTACATCATTACCTATCTTCACATTTGTAGATCTGATTAAAGGTCTTATTTCTACCATTTTTACAACTTTATCAATTCATATCTCACTTCAAATGATCTTACGACTGTGGTGATTTCAGACTTCATGTATTTTATATTTACTTAAATACAAACTATATGGCTGAATAGATGTTCAGTTTTCAAAAATTTTGAAAAGTTACATAATATTACAAATATGTTTAAGCATTCCTATACAGAGGCGTCTGGTTACCAGTTCTTCTCATCTTTTTCTAATTTTTCTTCCACTAACTTGATTGCTAAAATGATCCGTTTAGGATCGCACTGGTCAAATTTTTAGTGCAGTAGGGACTAAGTCCTTTCCTTTCTCTAGTTGGTTTACTGAAAGGTGATAATGTAAATTTTTTTTTATATTTGATTCTGAGAAAGTGTAGGATCAGTTTTGATTTCGTCTTGTAAACTAACTTGAATAAGATTCCATTTTGAATCACCTTTTCTAACAAATACATGAACTTTACATAACCAAAATTCAGGTTAAACAAGACTTTCAAAAAGGTTATTAAAGGTTGGAATTTGTTTTTTTGAAAGAGAAGAATCTTTAACTACTCTAGAGCTAATTAGAACTTTGTGTTCTTCTTCAACACAAACTACAAAATGTAGTATTTCAAATAAAATATGAAATACACTTAAATTTATGAATACCCTACATTTTTATTAAAAAAATTATTTTTTCATGATTATTGAGTTATAAATAATTTTGAAAAACTTGAAAGATATTTGAACATTGTTACCGGCTAAAAATTCACTATTGAAATGTTGATCTACAAAGAATTATTAAATGATTTACAGAAGTTCCTGAAATTAATTTTATGTCAATTATAAATTAAAAGATCTGCATAATTCCAGATTTTGATGATTCTTAGGATCCACAAGATTCTGGGGATTCATAGGATTCTTAGGATTTACTGGATTCTTCAGATTATCATAATTCGTTAGATTTTCCTAATTCACCATATTTCTATTATTTTAATTATTATCATTATTCTTCTTATTCTTATTATTTTTATTATACTTATTATTATCTTTATAATTATTATTCTTCTTATAATAATTATTATTATTATATTAATACTCGTAGTTACAAATTTAGTTAGTTTATAGCGTAGCAACTAGTTAGCTGTAGCAAATTAATTTTGTATAAATAGAATAGCTTTTTGCTCAAATTGTAAATTAACTCTCTTGTAAGTTCAAAAATACTTATGAGCTTCAAGTAATAAATAAAGGAATCAACTTTTAAAACAATTACTTTTTTCTTCTATATGTCTATCATCTAGGATTTGATCGTGAACTACTACACTAACTTGCTATTGAATTCATCACTTAGAATAAATAAATTCTCTAAATTTCCTAAATCTCTAAACCCTTAAGTTCATAAATTAAATGAAATAATTCTAAAGCATTCCAGATACCTATAGGACATGAGATTTCCTAAGGTTATAAAGTCTAATAATAAGAAAGTTACTTATCGTAGCAAAGGAACTTAAACAAATTACATGAAGTAATAAGAGAAGATTATTCCCAGTGATAACATTTAAGAAAGCATTTTCTTTATTTTTAATTATTCTGTAATACAAGAACGTATATAGATTTTTATGGCTTAGATATATATTATATGATTTAATATATGTTATTAAACTATTTGTTAATATCAAAATATAAGAGGATTGATGTTAAACAGATAATCTAATTAGTCTGGCCTTATTTCAAACAAAAGTATTCATTTTTATTTGTGTTAAAAGTTTTTTTATTAAATTATTTTTTTTTTTACCTGAAAAATTTGAATATGAGGTCTTTGAAGATATTTAAAGGGTATATATAATAATTTACTTAGTAAATCACATAATGAATAACTAATTATTACATTACTATATATTATTCACTTCAGTTCTATTATTTTAATTTCTACTTCTGAATTTACTTTGTTTTATTACTTCATACTATTTATTACTACTTATTTTTAAGGTTTTACTAATACTGATTTCTGTTTCTTATTATTATGAATTACTGATTTATTTCTAAGTTCTGTGTTCCTAATAACTTCCATTCTACTACTGATTTCTGATATCATGTATAACTTTTATGTTATATAACTTCTCATGTGATTCAGTTTATCATTTCCAATTATTGTAATCTTTGCATAATCTTCCTGTATATTCATGTAATTTCTTCAATTATTATTATTATTTTTTTTTTAAATATTTTCTAAGTTTTTCTATAAACTCTCTTCTATTTGGTTGATTAATTATCCTTTTCTTTGACCTTTTGTTCAGTTTTTTAATTACCCATCTTCTTTCGGTAACTAATTTATCTGAATTATTTCCTTTTTAAATTTATCCATTTCATGTAATCTTCCTTTTCAGTCTGTAATTTATTTAAGTAATTTACTTTTTTTAATAAAATAAATATTTTTTCTTTTATTCTGTAATTTTACTTGTAATTTGTTATGTAATTATATTGATTATTGTTGTATTCATTACTATACCTTAAATTATGAAATTGTTGACTCTATAACGTGAAGCAATTTTAAGGTTATACTATACTATGTGCTATTAAAATACCCAAAAGAAATTTCATTAAACATAAGGCTATAAAATGTATACGAACCTTTTATTCTGTAGAACAAAAGATAAAAGTTATTACATATGCAAAAGAATATGAAAATACTAAAATTGTAAAGCATTTTAATATTAATATTAGCATAGTTAAGCATTGGGTAAAAGTAAGACAGCTAAAATTAATGAGAAAAATAAGCAGGTAGATTCTAGGTAAAGACTTTATTTTCCTAAAGCTAAAAGGAAATTATATAAGTGGATTATTAAACAAAGAAAGCAAAACTTAGCTGTATTATATTAATTCTTCGAAATAAAATACTAGAAATTTTAAAAGAATCTGAAATAATAGAACTCTATGATGATTTTATGAAAAATTTTAAAACTTCTCATCATTGGTTAATAGCATTATGAGAAGATATAAGCTTATACTATAACGATGTATAAGAATATCACAAAAGCTTCCAAATCAAACTTAAAAGTTATTAGAGAAATTCCATCAATTTATTATCAATCTTAGGATTAAAAATGTTTATAAGTTAGGGAATATATTTAATATGAATAAACCATCTATTTGGTTTAATATAACTGGTAACTTTACAATCAATCTAAAGGGTGGAAAAATGGTACATGCTTGTATAACAGGTAATAAAAAAATTATTTTACCGTTATTTTGCTACAGGTAAAAAATTAATTTAATAAATTGTTTTATATAGTTTAATGTTTATTAATACATCAAATTTCGATAACTATAACTTTTTATTAATTTTTAGATAAAATATATTCATAATTCTTTTACTTTATAAATAAAACGAAAATGTCTCCAATTTGTAAATTCAAAGGAAAATGATTATCAAGCAAAGAACAAATTCCCTCTGGTATTGTAATTTGGTTTTAAAAGAATGGATAGATGGATTCAAATTTAATAAAAATGTATGTAGATTACTTTAATGAAATAAGGAAAAATATGATACTCAAAAGGATCCTACTATATTAGTTTATGATTCTTTTAAAAGTCACTTAGAGGAATCAGTTAAAAAACAATTCTATAAAAGTGGATTTGATCTCGTAGTAATATTAAACAGACTAACTAGCATTTATCAGTCTTTTAATATTTCTATAAATAAGTTACTTAAAGATAATCTTTACAAAGAATAGCATATTTGGATGACAGGTGATGATGCAAAAGAAACCGTTACAAAAAATCTTCATCACACTAGAATTAGTAAGGGTTAAATACTCTTGTGAAGCAATTTTAAATAAAATTATTATAGAATCTTTCAAGACTTGTAAAATTTCAACTGATCTTAGTGAATCAGAATCAGAGTTAAAGATTCTTATAGATTTTTCAGATACATTCAATAATGATAGTAATGGTAATAATTATAGTTGTAATAACGTTAGGAATGATAGTGATATAGGTAACTGTCAATGATATATATATAGACAGAATACAGTTTATTTTATAATTTATTTTATATAATTCATATTATAAAATTTTAGCTATTAATTAAGCTTTTTTATTATTTATTTTAACTATTTTTAAGATGAATTTTGATTTATAATATAAAAATATATAAAAATACTCAAAGCTTACTTATTTTTGGATAATAAATAATTTTAGAGTTGCTTATTTTCAGAGGTTGCTTAATTTTGAATGACTACGGTATATATATTTATTATTTGAAATTAATAAAATTTAATTTATTTTTCATAAAATTTTCAAGTACTATTTTAAATTGATTTGCAATTTCAGAATCAAATAATATTTGCTTGATAATTCTTCAGGTTCATCATTATCTAAACAGCAGAAAATCTTCTTGAACAAATAAAAAAAGCTTGTATTTTATCTTCTTGATCAATTTCAATTTTAAAATTTTCTTCTGTGATTTTACAAATAATAGATTTTACATTATTATTAATTTCATTTTTAATATATTGTAAACAATATAAATACTTATACTCAAGATATTGTAAACAATAATGATAAATATGACCCATGAAAGAGAAATTGATATATGAAAAGTAGACATTGATTGCAATATCTGATAAGAATTTTAAAGATGACACCTTACTAATGAATCAAATGAAAGATATTCTGAACTGCAAATCATTGGTAAATATCATTCATTTACATCTATATCAAGAGTTGCGAGATGAATTCATAAGTTATTAAAAATTTTTTTCTTTATAGTTTGAATAAAAAATAAAACAAAAAAAGCAAATACGCCTATTCGATTTTTCCGTCTAGATTTATTGTTTTCGAACTTTATACTATGATTATATATTACATTTATTATCCAATAAAATGATTCATTAACATGCTGATAATCGCAAAATTTTTTTTTGTTGAAAAATGTCATTCTCTTTAAAATACTATTTCATTAAGAAAAGGGTTCTATTTCCTTCTAATTTATTTTTAAATTCGATTAACAGAATTTTGATTAAAAATAATTTTAATTCTTTAAATTTAATTCATCGAAGTTATAAAAGAGAAATTGATTCAACCACCTTTTCAAATATTTCAAATAACACAGATAGTACATCAAATAATACATTAGTTGATAAAGATTATGAAAAAAGAAGAAGAAAACATCTAAGAAGTCAACGAAGAGTACAAGAGTTCTTTGAAAATAATCTAAAACATGATATTAATTTTAAAGCATTAGAAGGTGAAAATATTTTTTAAAAAAAAAATTGAAAGTGGATTTATTTATTTATCTATTTTTTTTTGTAGATTTTCCCAATTGGCTTAAATCCTTTAGATTACATAAATGGTCCCCATGTTTTGAAGGAATGAAATGGCAAGAGATTATCGAATTAAATGAAAAAGACTTGGTTAAATTAGGTGTTTCTAAAAATTATGTTAGATTTATGTTATTAAAGGATTTTCAAAAGATTAAAGCTGCTATGGTAAGTTATTTTGATTTTATTTTTTTATTTTAAAAAAAAAATTTTTGAATTAAATTAAATTTTTTGTTTTCAGTCCAAAAAAAAAGCTTCGGCCTCTGATAAATGTTAAATAAAATTATTTGTTGTCATAATCTTGGGAATATTTAATTTTCAAAACAAAGATCCTTGATAATTTGCTGAACAAGTTCTCATTTTGAAATTTTACACCTGATAATTTTGTTAACTAAATTTCTTGATATTTTCACATTAAAATATAAAAATACAATAGTCAGAGATTTATTCCAGCGAATAATGCTTTATATCTAATTTTCATACTCCAATTATTATTATTATTTTGTACAAAACTAAAAATTAACAAAATTCAAAAATCAGAAAATAAATAAACTCTATCAACATTTTTTTTTAGAATTTGCAAAATGTTCGTCGTCGACGTCTCTTATGACATGTCTGGTATTGGTGGTGTATCTTCTTTGAGACTATTCAATATATTTTCGGCTCTCATTAAAACTGACATTTCTCTACCTAAACGTTTTTCTTTGCCACCACGTCTCCTTCGAGATCGAGAATCCAAATCTACTCCATCTCTTAAAGATTCCAAGAGATTGTCCATAAGATGTTTTTCTTCAACAGAATCTTGTGAAGCTGAATTGATATTGACACCTGGACTGGGACGAGCAGCTTTTTTGCGATTTTCCGCTTCCTATTTTTTAATAAAAAAAAATTTTTTTTTATTAATAAACAGAAAATCAAACATAACCAAATATGATAATACCTCTTTTCGTTTTTGAATTGCCAATTCACGTTCACGTTGTTGCTTGTTATCATGTCTAGCTTTCTGTAAACAGAAATTAAATTATTAAGTGTAAGACTTAAAACGCAGGTAAAAAAAAACAAACCTCAAAAGATGTGATAAACGTTTTAAACACTCCAAAGAACTCATCAGGCTTTGTATTTTTTGGATCTTCACCAAAATATGCTACTACATCTTTATAAGCTACTTCCATAGAAGTATATTTAACCTGAAGTTCTTCAAACTTCTGTTGTGAACTGATGACAAATTTTTGCATTATACTTGGGAATTTATCATTTTCTTCTAATTCGACATCTGTAAAATTTTTTTTAAGTTCTATAGCAAGTTCATTCAATTTAGTACCCATATTTCTATATTCATTGGTCATATCTTGTTGTGAAACTAAATGAGATTATAATAGAAAACGATTATATTAAGTGCTTTTAAATATAAATCAATAAATTGAAAAAAAAAATTAACCAACCAACCTCTGCATGCAGATCCACAATCTTTTAAATCATCAATAAACCCTGATATACGTGGTAATTTATCATCAACAGTATTTGCAAGGAAATGAAGTAATGTGTGCGAACTACTATTAGTTGACTTAGTATCAACAAGCTAATGGGTTTGAAGAATATTAAAAAGAATTAGGATAATAGAATAAAGAATTATATACAACACTTAATGCAACTCTTACTTTATTAATACTAGAAATTTTGATACCGAACGCGCCACCTTTATGAGTATTTCCATTCATAAAATTTCCCAGTAATAAAATAAGCTAATAATTAATGATAAAGTTAGATATGAATAACAAAATAGGAAACTAACGAATATTTTATCAAAGATTTATTAAAACTTACACCTAAAAGTTCTTTAAAATGTTTAGATTCTTTGAGTGATATTGAGGCATTCAATATTGATAAAACGGACTATAACAATTAAATAAAGCTGTTAATTGCTTGAAAAAAAAAATAATGTTTAATTACTTTTTCAATGTACTAACGCGATCAAGATCATCAAACTGCTCTTTAAAAGTAACGTAGAAATACATGTATTTCAAACGTTGTTCATATCGATGAATCTTCATGACTTCAACAAAAAATCTATCAGCACGAGCTAAATTTTCAAGAACATCTTCTGGTGCGTCTTTATATATTGACAATTTACCACGCTATAGATAATAATATAAAGAAAAAGATTTGATTAGAAAATTATGAAAATGATAAAAAATAATTACTTATATCTTAATCGAAACTAACCTCATCGGGAGTTGGTATGTATAACATTAACTGATTAAGAAGATTCTCTGTACAAAAAAGTTCATCCATTTCTATAATCTTTCTGTGAATTTCTTCAAATGTAAAACTTTTATAACGACCA